GCTGGTATATATATCAGTTCCAAGAGGTTCAACAATTTCCTCAGCTCACATTGGAAATCTTTGGCAGAACTCAGGAATCCTGGCTGGGCCTGCGCTAGATCTGTAACAGTCTGACAAGGAACTGAACGGACTGGTTGAATAAGCCGCTTCAATCTATTGAATTCTCATCTATTTAAACACTTCAAAAAATCCAACGTGTTTGGAAGCACTGCAATTCTAGTGACTAGAAAAAAACAGAATAATAGCAAGACCAGATATCTTCTTCTTTGTATTTGTGAAGCAATTAGTACTCGTACCCCCTAAGTGGCATTGACAGCTACCCAAGAACAATTAGGGATGATGTTCTTATACTCTAATGTGCACATGTACATATGGCACATCATCAGCAACAGTACCAATGAAGGGGAAGGTCGTTGTAAAAAATACCGGCAACAATGGCACAAACACAGTAACAACAGTGTCATCAGCTGCACAGACAGGCAGACACAAATTGCAGGAATCTGCAGCACAATTGCCATGGTATGTTTTACCAGAGAACAAGAGAACATATGCTTAGGTGTAGCAATCCTCAGATGTCGCCTCCTAAACCATAAATCCATTTAATTCCTTGCATTTTCTGCCCCAATGTGCTTAGAGAGATCTGTGCCCAAATATCAAACGCACCTCTTCCTTCCAAAGCGCTTGATGCTACAGGCAGGCATTAATGCCGTGCTATGATGTATTTATTCATTTCCACGTAACAACAGGCGCTCATTCAGCAACAGGGCTTCAGTAATCAGGCAGGAAGAAAACACGGCCTGATCCTGGGCAGGTCTCATTCTCTCAGGTGGAACAGATTTCTAAAAAAACATGAAATCTTAAACCAAGATCTTCTAAAAGCTTTTGGAGAGCTCAGATATGAGTTTCCAAATCACGCTCGTTTTTGTAAGGTGGTCAGGAAAGCAAGTAGAAAAGGCCAAAAGAAGAAAAAAAATGTCTGTCCTTTCCATATCAGCAACCTGGTTGCTCCCTCAAAGTAGTTTGGTTGAGACATACTCCAAATGATACTTCTTCACTCCTCAGTCCTACTGCCAACATACATGGACAGACTGAGAATTTATCAGTAACAGGATGACAGCCACACTCTAAAACACTGAGGTTTGGATCAGAAACCACCAAAGATACTACAGAGACTTCTTTTCCCACCTCTTCACTAATCTTACAGCTTTTAGAAGAAACTTATTCCATGCGCAGTCCCTAGAGGCAAGTGTGCATTTCTAATTTCTATGTTCGATAGCAAATCACCTTTAAAGCCTCTAAAAATCCATATTCTAAAAAATCTTCAAATTTTGGAATAGAAAAGAACCCAGGGAGAGCTTCAGAAACTCATAATGTTGGCATTTTGCTTTGTCACTAACTTTAATATCACTCTAATCAAATCAGCGAGACTGTGGAAACGATACCAAACAATACCAGGTCAGGAAATACCACCAAATCCCTCAATTCATTGAAAAAGTTAAGACTTTTAAAATTAGGTTTTTTAAACTCAGCCATGTTAAATTGAAGGGCGTTTTGTAATTTTCGTGCAGAGAGCTGGAAGAGCAAAAAGGTACAGCGTTCCACAAAACAGTCTGTGTTCATCTGAACCGAACAATACGGTACAAACATCTCGGAGAAATATTTAGAAGAACGCTTGAGGTTGCCATTGTCGGCATGGAGAGCGATAGGAATTGTGCAGGGTTTTTTTGTCTGTTCCTTCACTGTCCCTCCTACAGCATCAGTCTTCATTGCCTAGAGTAAATATAGGACCCATCTGTGGGCTCAGACAGTAGTGCAAAGTCCGTGGCCCTCTTCTCTAGGAGGCACCTTGATGTCTTTAAAAGCCACGTTGTGGTGAGCGAGAAGCCACCCAGTGAGTGTTGCCGCCTAAAGCCTACCAGGGGCAAGGGGTCAATTGGCACAGAGCGGCATGTGTGGCCCAGCGAGTCCCTAAATCAGCGTTCATACATGCCACTTCCCACAACACAGAGGGGATTTACTGGATACCAGGTACCCAGAATCATAACAAGAATATTCTCCTTTATTTCTTCAAAATAAAATCTCAAACTGTGGTTGTGCATCAATCGCACCAGCTTCTCAAAACGGATTTAGAGAAACTCATCAACATGATGCCAAGTTGGTTAAGGTAATTATCAATACAAATTACATAAACCGATACATTAGTGCATTCACAAGTGAACTGGAAATTCAACAGAACCAGTTAAATCCCCACTGAGAATGACATTTCACTTTGGAGCGGGAAGCTAGCGCCGCTCGGGAGATAACCGTCACCGTGCCCCGCCATGCAGCGTCATCTAGGAAGCGAAGGGACCAGAAGTAAACGTGAGCTCACCATAAGGAAGCTTATCCTGCAGAGTGCAGGAGTACACAAGCCACCCACGTCCAGCAGACCAGTTCTGGTACCCATCTGGCCTGGAAAGGGTATCTGAACTGCTTTGGTGAGCAATTGCTCAAGGAGCAATCACTACTCCTGCCCTGTCTGACCAAAAGGGATGCCACTCTTCTGCTCGCATTAAGCCTCTCAACTTCAGGTTGCAACATTTCCACGCAAGTGGGAACTACAGCCCTATATATACACCAGCTGCACCTTACAGCTGTCTGGCTTTACTCGTACACATCTGAAAGGAAAAGGAACTAACCACAAAAAACCTGATGGAGACCAGCAGCATCTAACTACAAATATCTCTGTTGAGAGCAATGGCACATTGACTTCCAAGGGACGTGGAGGACCTTCGCCAACTATCTCCCTTCACCCTCAGCCCAGCTCAAGGCTGTTGGCACTGACTAACCTTCAGAAAAATTCATCTTCTGGACACTCCGCTACAATGCTCTTGGTAAACGTCTCATTGTTTAAGGGGTTTTATTATTATTTCTTAAACAACAAGGGGGAAGGAACATGGTGGAGGAGGGATGAGGTTTGAATACATGAAGAGCAGAAGACTAGTATGCTTTGGCCTTTCTTCTAAAATGGGTCACAGTTTTAAGCATAATATGCCACCACCAACTAAGGTAGACAATTAGCCTCTGTCTAAAATAAAATGCGTTGCGATTGCTACTGCTATTATCAAAACAGATATAAGAGGCTCATTTATAGCAGCTAGGAGAAAGGCAAGAGAGAAAGGCAGGGCTGGGAAGGGCTAGGACAATACCTGCAGACAGGGAAGTATGGGAGATGACAATTCCTCGGAAATAAAAACAGGGCATACGGAATATGAAAGATTAAAGCAATAACACACGCTTTCATCTGTTTAAAGGAAGAGGAAAGGAGAAAAGATGACAGGTGGGGAAATGGAAAGGATGAATCTAGAAATAAAACACATTAGCAGTGCCTCCCCCATCATAGCGGGGAAAGAAACCTTTGCCTCGCCACTGTTCAATGGGAAGGCAGGCTACGTAGACATGAAAATCCATGATTTCCAATCTTCCTCTCCCCCTCCCATGGAGGGATCTAAATCAGGTCTTTGTCTGGAAAAGAAGGGAGAGGTTTTCTTAAAATGAAACAAAGGGCATCCTTCTCTCTGCTATCCCTTGAGGTAAGACAGAACAAGCATGATCTTGCTGCATTTTGACACGCCGAGAGTTACCAAATCCTCTCTATCACTGCGTATTCCCCTTACTTTATTTAATAAATGAAATCTCATCAACTTATCCTTCTTCTATTATCACTGCTGACATCAATCTGATAATATTGGCTTGGCGTGGAATCGTGCTAGTATATGTCCTCTTGATATTTAATTTAAGAGAAACGTCTGCAGTGGGGTGAATATGTGAAGCAAGCTTTTTATTACTGGCAGCAGTAAGGACGCTGGGAGTGAATTAGACATTCATCTTAGTCAGGGCCAATCTAGTGGCTCAGAAGAGGTTTTCTTCTTAACCCTCTCCTAACTGTTCAATAGCGGCAGGTAATGGCTGCTCCAGTCAATAACTGCATTCATTTGTCTTGGCAAATTCATTTCTACATGGATATAAACCCCATGAAGAAGTGCTAAGCGTCTGGGAGGTTAAAGCAAGGTTCTTTGAGAATTTCCATCATAAGCTCTGTGATAGTAGGAAGAGTGCTGGTCTAAATGTCCATCAATTAATCAAGAAGCAACACAGCTTCCAAAGACAAACACACAAACTTACTGCAAGAAGCTATTAAGGCAGTATCATCAGGATACAGACCCCATAGACAGAAGGTTTCAAACAGAGCACAACGGCTACCAGCTAGTTGCTGCCGACAGGTTCCCTTTTTGGAAGAAGAATTATGGGCTCAGTATTGGAAAGCAAGGGAAGGCTGGAAGATGTGTATGTATTTGCTAGTCCTTCCACTCAGCTGAAAAAATCAGACTAGCCAAGCAGAGATACAACTTCAATGCTTGAGGACTTGGCAGCTCTTTAGACTAGTGCAAAATCAGTAGCTCCACAGTGAGTACCTCACCACCACTTGGCTTTACCGGGTAGAGCAGCAATTCCAGGTGGAGTTAAGAGCAAGATCTTCTTTACCTTTTACTCTGG